ATATACAATATTGCTCTGTTTGTGCCGGGGCACCGGATCTTTGGGGTGAACCAGCCTTTGCCGTAATGTGTTTTGGGGTTTGAAAGCTGAAGAAGTCTCTTGGAAGAGAGACGAAACGTTTCATTAAAGAAGAACCCGTCCAGAGGACCTATTCAATTTTTTTTTCCCTTTTGATTTTTTACCTGGATTACTGAGATGCATCAGGACATTTATTAAACCAGTTTTTTTTTGTTTTATTTCACCTTCAAGCTATCGTGTCTGCCTGCATTTTGAGTTCATCCATACAATAAATCCTGACAACAAAGTAGAGCCCTAAAACGTACAGTTTACTGTACACAGGTAGCTAACTTTATAGCTAATATTGATTAGCTGAGGTGCAGAGGCAGATTGCAAACATTTGCTAACATCACGTACAGTCTTGACTGGTCTTGAAATAAAATCCTGAGTCCTTGATGTCTGAGACCAAGACAGATCGAATACAAATGCGGTTGAGTCCAAGACAAAAGAGAGACCAGCAAAAAGTGGTCTTTAGACTGATCTTAAAACCAAGACTGGTCTCGAGTATACTACACTGATAACTATTACCCTGAGGTCTCATTGCAGTCGGACATGGCGATAAAAAATCCAAGGAGGGATCCAGGAAGCATCCTACTTAGATGTTTGAAATACCCCAGCTGACTGCTTTTGAGGMTGAGTAACAGAGGCTTTAGCCCAAGATCCCTGGATGACAAAGCTCCTCACTTTATCTCAAAGGCTGATCCCGGCCACCCGACTGATGAAGCTCTGGGATCTTGTTCTCTTGGTCAGGATCATATCTCATGATTACATGTGAGGATTGGACTGTAGATAGATCAGTAAATCTAGAGCTTTGCCTTTTGGCTCAGATCCTTCTTTATGACACATCAGCACAATGCTCTCATTACTGTAGACAAGGCCCTGGTCGACACATGCTGTATGTTGTTTATCTGAGCACCTAATAAGCAATCTGCAAATCTAGCTTCCAGTTGCCTTTATGTAACCTAGAATGCCTAACGGTGCATGGCATCAACATGATAATATAATTAAGGGTTTTCAAAGCTTATTATGTTTATGCAGTTCTTTAATGACAAAGATTAACATGTGCTGTTCAAAACTGGTTTGGGGGTCTAACATCTACACTACATGTGCACCAGTTCACTGAATTTCAGAATTAGAGGTGACAGACTGACTCCTGTGGAGTGGGCTTCTCTCCCACTGGGCTCCATGGAGGACGATGCTGATGGTCGTGAAAAAAAAAAAGAACAGAATGAGGAGGAAGACAGAAGGAGGAGGAAATGAAAAGAGACAGAGGAGAGAGCAGAGTGCTGGGAGCATGTCAAGTTGCCTGCAGGGAGGTGTGATTCCTCCAAGCAACAAAGTAGTCACCTCAAACAGTGTTTTAATGAGGCGGCACAAGGGAGGAGGAAAAACTAATTATGGCATTGATGTATTGCTCTGTCTCACAACTTTCTGCACATTTTGTTTTTCCCTAAAAAAAAWTTTAAGGGAAGGAGAAGAGTGGAGATGCAATTTACCGAACCCTGTGATTGGGTCTTTACTGGGAAGTAAAAAAATAAAATAAAATAAAATAAAAGATTAGTCTGATAAACTAGATGGTTGGGTGGGCAAAAACTGGACAGTTGGACTTACTTAATGGAATAAAATGCAACTGAAATGAGATCAAAATGCTATTATCATAAATAACATGTCAAATACAAAAAAAAAGGTTAAGTTCTTTATTCATGCATTCATGTGAATTAATGAAGGCTGTATTTTCGAAGACATAGTGGAGGATTTTAATAAAGCTTTCAAAAAGTTAACATTAGATGTGCATATAAAACTAAATAAAAACAACTAACTTGATTGGTTTTACAGATATTAATCCAAAACTGGATGTGGTTAGCTGAGTTGTCCTCAATATTTCGCACCTTGTTTACAAAGATTATTCAAAACAGCTAATAACTTTGTCATTTCTCATTAGATGATTTTATTAGATGATTCATACTGGAGGCAAAAGTGAGTCAAATGTGTTATTATGTTTTTTTTTATTTTTTGCCCCTATGTGACCTATTTAGCTATATAGTTAATAGTTACAGTAATAGATGTAACAGATCCAGTTTTTTCCAGTTTAACCTGGGTCTTTTTCATATATACCCATTTCATATTTACTGCTGCGATACAGGTCTATCAAAACAAGAACTTCTAGATTTCTAGAGTTTCTTTCCATACGCAGCGAGTTTTAAATTGTTATTGAATGGAGTTTTAAACTAAGTGGATGTTTAATTAGATTGGTGTATGATTTGTTTTTATTTGTTTCGATTCATGCTTATTGTTTTGATTTCATGTTTATTGTTTTTATTCATGTTAAATGTTGTTATTCATGCTTTTTGTTTTTTTTTATTCCTGTTTATTCAGTGTGTGTATGGTGATGCACACTGAATTTCCTTTGCGCTAGTGACTCAATGACAATAAAAGGCATTTGAATTTGCTACTTAATCAGAAACATTTGTTTTGTTTTGTTTTTCAAAGCGACTGCAGTCKGAATGRTCATGTCATAWATCATCTGACTTTTAGGTATAYGGGTCAATACAGATATTGATATTATTGATACAAACAAGCATTTTAAAGCTGAGAACTGCACACTTTTTTTGTAGATTTGTTATATCCTGAGCAGAGAATTTACACCAACATACCAACGCTGATATACCAACCTACTCTACTTTCTATCGCTCCTGTTCCAGATGTGTAAATTTGCACTTGAACAGTAGGGCTGTGTATTGGCAAGAATTTGGCGATACGATACATATCATGACAGAGGGGTCACGAT